GCCGATAAAAGTAACTATGACAAAAACTATTCAATGAATACAATTTAATAATTTAGTATCGGAAGATTATTACAGCGTAACAGTCAATAAATTGGGAATTCCTACTTGAGAGGCTGCGCGAAAGAACGCATAGTGGTATCATATAAATATGTGGTCACTGTGGCAAACCGAATATTCGTTGTTGCTTCTATATATGAAGTTCTTCGATTATCGATACAAACGAAAAAAATGCAGATAAGCTTCGAAAAGGCAGCGCAGTGGAAACGCGCTAACTTTCCTGTCGTTATCAAAACGTTGCAAATTAACTCGAGCGTTTAATTTAGCTGTTAATAATGCGGGCTTTGCCGCACAGACTACACGCGCAGCTAAATATACTGTAGAATGTATCTCGCTTGCAGAATTTTTGGTACGCGGATGGACGGTTAATTAATTTTTTCGCTGGAATAACTGTGGCTAGCGCGTGCGTCTTTCTCTCTCTTCTTCAAATTGCAAATGAAGACAGAAATCGACGAATCGATGGCTTAAAAACTTTCAGTTCTTTCTTGTAATTAGAACCTGATTTATCGATCTCAAGAGATTATCCATAGAGTAAGAAAAGAAGCAGATGTGCAGCTATCGTCCAGATGTTGATATATCTCTATATATCGTACTTTTACAACCCATTGAATCAATCATGAAATGTGCAAAGGTGAGAAAATCATTCGGCATGAAAAAGGCCATCGATTTGTCATTAGCTGAAACGATGGGTAAAGCGTGCCCCAATGGGCGACGTTCCCAGCAGACAGAGCGTACGGCAGTCAAGGTGAAATCAAGCGAAAGGGCGTGAAGTAATTTCGCACGTTTTCACTGGTTTCAGCAAGTTGACTGGCTGCAGAAATCATAGAGTTGTCTGGGCGGCTAAACCGATGTGACCGCAGCGCAGGCGCGCGCTCGGGGCCCATCTCTCATCCCTTATCGCGCGCAATTTCTCTATCACCGCAGTGCCGCTTGCTCGGCTTGCCGAGAAAAAGAAGGAAATCGTGACGTCAGCCTGCTTTTCCATATTTCTTGCTCTTCACCGGGCGCTGACACGCGAGCACAACACGCTTCCTCTGTGGGATTTTCATTCGGGAACGCGGGCGCAGCGCGAAGATTCATTTCGACGCGCTTTTTCTTTTTCGCTTCCGTCAAGCCCCGTCAGGTTTTTGCTTCTTGACACTTAACGCGACGCGCGCAGCGCCAACCGTGAAAGCAAACCGCATCGTTACGCGACGGCTTCACTTGACTGCAGTCAGACTGAAATTTATGTACATTTCGTTTTTTGGGGCTAACCCTGTTAGCTAAGCCAAGCTCTGATTGCTGATTGTGAAAAGATAAATGTCGATAACGTCGAAAGGCGTCCGTTTAGCGAGTAAGTAAATGCATAACGCAGTTCTACTTTAGTCGCAGCTTCAAAATCTAGGCTATAAGTTTACTCGTCCAGTCATGCAGATAACTAAGTGATTTATGATATCTCACTTTTCGATAATCTAAATAAACACTCTGTTGTGTTATTATCTGAACTGATTTGTAGACTCATGTTAACTAATTAAGATACACCGCGTATTTCCAACAAGTACACAGAAGTGTTCGATTTAGATTTCTACAAACATTAGCTCTCATTGATAACATAACTTTATTTTCAATTGATCGTCACCGACGTATTCTTCCGAACAGAAATCGATATGTAAATGATATGATTTTGTAAAAGCCAGCTTCGTATGTATATAGAATATATGTGCATTCATTTTAACAGACTCTACCCGAACGTTAAAGTAGAGGGTGACGTATACCAAAGTGGCTCCACGTCCGAGCTTATCTCGCATCAATCTTATCTTACTTTTATTCTGAAACTTGTTAAATCTTTTCAGATAGTATCATATTTTCAGGTATGTACGAAACGCGAATGCGAGCAGTTATAATAAATATTCAATGATATTTTTAAATAAAATTTTCCTATAAAAGTAATTCAATGAAAAGTGTATTCGATTTTTTATAGAATTACATTGGCTGGCGTTATTGAATCGTGGTTCAATTGCTAGTGATAATATGAAAAACTAGAATATTGGATTCCAGAGCTTACGGCTTTCGTAACTTCGATCCAAAATCGTATTAAATACTCTAGCTTTTAGAAATAAAAGTTAAATATTTATTATAGATAGTTTGCTTTGAAAAATACAGTTGATTATTAAATTTTTATTTCATCTTTTCGTCATATTACTCGTGTTTTCTTTAGAAAATATTAGGAAACCGATATATGATATTTGTTCTAAAACTTTCGTAACTCGAAAGGTCTTCTTGTATCGTGATTGCATTTCACTTTTCACGAGTTTAAATAATAAATTATTATTTGCAAAATATATTTTAGTTTCAGCTGATGCTTAAATTATAAATTACTATAGAATATCCAGCGAGGATACTTTTTATATGATTTGTTTAATTACTGCAAGGAAAGATTGAAGTAACGTGGTTTACTTTTCTGTTGTGGAAGTTTGTATTTCGCGTTAAAGATTTATTGGTTACAATTTTTTTGGCATCTATGAAGTGTGAAACATATTTCATTTCTCAAATATAGCTTTCATAGTTTAAATTGGTTAATAATAGTGTCGTGTGATTCCTTCTGATTAAATTATAAAGAAAAAAAATTTTGAATTATTATCTTGACAACCCAGTTATATATCAATCGAATATGATACATAAGAGGGCGTTAAAAATCAAACGTGTGCTCTCATGTAAGTGAAATGAGAGCACTTTTTTGTTAATTTCATTTTTCACGTGTGCGTTGCTCACACGAGCGAACATGCTGAACTGAAAAAACGGAAACATCGTTGACGCTGCGAAGTAATGCTCGTACACAGATGCTGAAATGCTTATTGTTTTACTATTTGATCCTTGCAATCGATTTGGGACAACAATTTTTTACATTATTCATAGGCAATCAAAAAGCACTCATCGAAGATCGGAAGATCAGGCTAGTCTGCTCGGACTAAAAATGCTGAATCCTATAATTCTGCGGCTGAAAATTGCACTCTGTATCTATTTTTATATTTTTATATTTAAATCATTTTGCAATGTCTAAAAAAAATTTCTTGATCGTGGAAAAAAATAAAAAAACGTTCGTATGTATTTAAAATATTAATGAATTCAATAAAAAAGCCGAATATCCGCAGTGTCCTCGGTGGGTCTTATTAAAAGCTAAAAAAATCTAAAGTAATTCGCAAGTGCACGCCGTTCAAATAAATGGAATTCAGCCGCAACGCGTAAAATTTAGAAAAAGGACGCAGCATGGCGAGGACATTCGTTACGTATAATAAACCGTCCACGCTGCTTATTCATTATTCAGCGGCAATGAAACAAGAGAAAGAAAGACAGAGAGGGGAGGGAGGCTAGATAAGACTGACTAGAATGCCAAGTTAGTATAATTTCAGCTTTAAAAAGGCATTAGATGCACAGACACACATGTGCATAGCGTCGTCGGAATACTTTATTTATGTAAAGCATGCACGTCGTTTGCGCACGCGCACGTACGGTCGATCGTAGTTTCACGGCACGTCCATGAATGGAAAAGCGTAGCAGACGCCGAAACTCGATCGTCCTGCGCGACGCATCGAGGAAAAAAGCACGCCAGTCTCCCTGTTCGTTTGCATCGCCTCTTCATTCCCCGTTCTCTCTCTCTCTCTCTCTCTCTCCCTCTCTCTCTGCCGACAAGATTGTCTTACGCCGCGAGAAAAGACGTTTCCGAGCATACTCGAGAGCAAGGGGGTGGAGGCGAGCATTGCCGGAAATGAAAAGTAAATTTTTACTGCCTCGCACGACTGTATACTCGACGGAGTGGTTTTTGTTGCTATTGCTGCACGCGCAGCCACTTATACGAGGGGGAATTGAGTTGTGTCTGCACGGGTGAACAAATGTTTCCGAGTTTTTTGTTTTGCATAATGGATGCAATTTCGACTGGATAAAACATTCGTTTTACACGCTCGATGCGTGCTCGCTTTTGTTGGCTCGCATGACTCGCGATCGGTGCCCCCGACAAACGCAACGTAAAATTCGCTGCCCTTTTGAAAATATCATCTTGTTCCGTAATCGAATGCACAAAATAACGCGACAAAAGCCAGTTATCACGCGGAGAGAGAAAGAAGGTCTGATAAAGCGAGCAGATATATACCCGTGAAATCCGTCTGAAAGCTGCCGATATGCATCAGGAAATACCATCAACTACAACATGGAATCAGCCGATGCTACATCCAATTCTGTCAAAAGGAACTTTCTCCCATGACTAGCACTTTTCCCCTTATCAATCTTGTAAACGAACCGTCGAGAAAGAGAAATAAATTGATGAGCCATTGCATAGCTACCGCGGTAAGATCGACAAGTGCGAATTTGACCGATGGCTTAAAAACAATTCACACAAATTGATAGTATCGGCCAAGCAGAGCAGACAGTGAACTATCGATTCGTACTCTAGCTCGTTAAAATTCACGATGAGCTTTCTGGCTGTGTCAATGTGAGCGCCACGTGTCACCGATCCGAGTTTTTTTGTGCAATAAAGCGAAACGATTTGCGCATGCCAGTTTTTATGGCTCGCTTTGAGTAGGCGATATGAAATATGTATTTGATGCTGCGCTAGGCGGCACGGCATAGTCGGCCAGTAGCGAACGGTGCCTCTCCTTGCACCAAGGTCACTTCCGCATAATCTTAGGCAAGCTCTCGAGTCTGCGCTATAATACTCTCTCCCTTTCTTTGCTTCAGCAGATGTGGATTCGAAAATAATTTGTTACTGCGCCATTCTGGCGTTCAACTAGACTAGCTTCTTTCAAAAGAAACCATTATCATAAAATTATGTATTAACGCGTCATTAAAAAAACAATGATAAATGTATGCTGACTCAGATAACGAGCACGAAGCAAAGTAATCGTATTAGATTATGCATTTTATTTCTCTAGATGATTAAATAACATGCTCCTTTTAAATATTTTTTTCAGGGATGCTGATGAATGAGACAGGAAAAATGGCGGGTGCATTGACGAAGCTCGGCCAATTTTATAACAGCTGCCTTGAATTTGAAGCAAAACCTGTGGACTTTGCACCTGGTAACTGAATTACTTTTCGTATTAATAGACTTGTACTGTGCATTTCATTCAATACAGGCTCAACTGAGTGATATCGTTATGCAAACATCGGCTGCGTAGTACACTCCCTATATCCAATAATAATGCCAATATTGGTATATAATTCACGAATTCGAAAATGACAGCATTTATTGTTTGATGTTGGATATTTTAACAGATTATTTGTAAAACAACAAGGTAAAGGTTCACAAAAACATAAATTCATGCCTGGTCGGTTATTGATGCGTACTACTTGTTGAGATAATTTCTTTGTCCCAGGCGCATTATCCCTGTTTTATTCAGTTGAGTTTGTTTTTCTGCGAGACCATTCAGCAGTTTCAATGAGCCTGAAAATATAAAACGGGTAAAAAGTATGTTCTCCGATATATCGTGCATATATGATGAGCGATTTCATCATAGAAGTGCAAATGAAACTTTGCGAGCAGGTTCTTAAAAAAGAAAAAAAAGAACGAGAGAAAAAAAAATACAAGCAAGTGCACAGCGGCACGACAGCGTACGAGATTAGAGAGAGAGATAGTTCGATGGAAGAAAAAAGAAGGCAGCTAGGAAAAAAGAAGGCATCCGCGCAACGTTAGCCTCGACATTATTCCCTTGTCGGCGTGACAACGCTTCCGTGCTAACTAGGCTGTTTTTAGCGAGACTCGCATACTCCTTCGTTGCCTCGTGTGCATAAGGCTCGTGTGTGACTTTGCTGCCGCTGTGCTCCGCAGATTCCGAACTTGGCAAATATTTGCGCTCCTTACGGCCAGTACCTTGGTCGTTGCGGGGCATAATTCATACGAATATACGAGCACTACACTATTATTTTATGTTTATCTTGGGCATATCTCGATCCCCCGCTGATTTTATTCGCGGATCGATTATTGTTGTGTACTTTGATACGCAAGCATTGGTCGACGAATAGAATATAGTTACTAAAGTTACTACAAATACTAAGAGCGCTCGTTCGTTAATTTTGTTTTCCAATTGTCGAGCATCGTGAAAACAATTAGAAAAACGGCTGCGATAACTTTTGCTAATTAAGTGTAATAATGACATTTTTACCTAACAAAAGCAATTGAAAACATTTATCTGTCACTGTATTGATAAACGAAGGTATCTATCTATATATAACGTGGTAGGACTTAGTGCAGTAAAGGTGATTAACGTACATCATTGTTAAGGACGATTAGTCGAATTAAACCCTGAAACAACAAACTATTAATATGCAAACATCGCTGCGGGTATCCTCCAGTCGATGCTTATTGTTAGAAAGCGATGCATTCGTACAGCGTTAAATGCCTATAATACACAGTGATTTCGTTGCATTAGCATCCAAGTGTACTCGTAAGTACAATTTACTGCGCTCAAGCCGCTAACGTTTATTGAATATTCAGCGTACTCGATTGACAGCCAAACTTCTCTGCATACTAGGTTAATAATGTTAAGTAATGAAATTAAAAATTGCAAACCAGATCGAATGCCAAAAAACGTCTCAACCAATCTCTTCATTGTCGTGAAACTTTTTTCTTTTCTTCAAAATTCAAATTTCTAATTTTTGACAATAATAAATCTCGTATAACAGACAGAGAAAAAGAAGGGATGGTTTGGTCGAGTTTTTACAGTGATTGCTCAGGAGTATGAATATATACATTAAATTTGACATTATTACTCCATTGTTTTAGCTTGTCGTCGGGTAGTTTCTCTCTTACCCCATTCATTGTCTCTGAAGATGTAACCGAAAATTTCTAGACCACTAGAAATTCACTTGGATTCCAAGAGCTCGCGTCGCTTGATCAGTGCCAGGTCAGAGACGTCGGTGACACGCCAAACCACGCTGTCTCTAGACAAGAAATAAATCACAGCTAACACTCCGGCGACGTGGCGACGACGGCGGCGACGAACAATTAGTTGATGTTGTTCGGAACAAGTACAGAGATGACGATTCTGCTATTAAACCTCGATTCATCCACGACGTGTTTTGTTATTCGAACGAAAGCCGAGCGGGAGGGCGGTGCCGGCGGGACTCTTCTCTAATTAACAGACAGAACGAGGATTGCGGGCTAATGACGCCCCCGGAATTATTCAATGCGCGCGCGCGTTCGCGAGATAGGAGAATGATTGTTGTAGGCAGGAAAGCCAACCGATATCATGAAATTAGCGCAGCTGCTAAAGCGCTCGATTGACGTTCGACTGAATATGCCGGGAAACCGTGGCTCGCGGCTTGTCACCATCGCGGTACCATACAAATTACTTGGTTACGCAAACGTACTGCAACTTTGATAACTGATACGCTATCCGCACTGCGCTTCATCAAAGTGCTTCGAATAGCATAGATATTTAGACAGACAAATGGCATTTTCATATCGCGCGCAATGTTTCGACATATCTTCTTTGTGGAATGCCTGTTCTATCAAATAATACGCTTTGGTTAATGTTCTAATTGCAGTTACAAGCTGAATTAAGAAAATGAGATTTTTGCATATTATAATGTAGGTATTGCGAGCACACCCCTATATGACTTGCTGGGCGGTGCACGCACGCTCGCGCGTGCGACTCGCAACTGCAGGGCTTGATTATTTAAATGTTGTTTTATGGCCTTGTGGCTTGCATTTCGTTTTAATAAGAGATACACACGCGCGAATCGTTTTATTTGCCTGTCGCTGATTACGCCACCCGCGTGCTTTCGTGCGAATTATCAAACTTGTTTTCTCGTTGATAAATTACTTGTAGTTATTTTAATACGAAAAAAACTTTTGGATTACTTTGCAATTATTTTAATACGAAAAAAAACGTTATTTGTACGAGTATATCTCGCGCAGTATTCGAGTTATTAAAGTATACGCCAGATTTTGTAGATTTTGTAATAAATAACTAAGCTTTTAAAAATTAAGGATTGCTAACTTGATAAATTGAACGTAATATATTTTATAAATGTTACAAGAATTATTAACGGGGAATTTTCTAAACTGCGAAATATTTTTTACGTAATCATTAAGTTCATGATTTTTTACATTTACTAATTAATACATCGTGGATTAATTTGAGGTTTTTTATTTTTTAAGTATTTTATCAACGGTATATAACATTTTGTAGAAATATCCGATAAAATAAATTTACTCAGAAAGTTCTGCACGTTTAAAAAAGTTGACCTCAGTATGTGATTAAAAAGTCCAACAAAATTTGAACGCTCACTGGTTTTTCTTTTTACTATGACTTTGTTTATCAGTCATATTTGAATGCTTAATTTTCGGCATATAAAACTGATAGATATCTTATTGAAACAAATTTAATAAGCAAGTGTACGAGCTTATTTAATTTAGTACTTGCATGTATACTTCTAATGTAAAACTTCGCGTGCGACACGTAATCCAATCCGTTTTCCTAAAATCTCTTGTTCAGGATGGCAATTACGCGGTATTCTTTGGTCTTTTGGATTTGTTTCTATTGAAGACATCACAGCGGAAAAATAGTAATTTGGAAAAATTGAGTACTTTTATATCAGATTCACTTCGCTTTGTGTGGAATTATGTGGAGCTACGCTATTAGTCAGTAATAACTTGTTTAAAAGAGTTCTCTAATTCTCAAACTATGCAAATTTTAGCTTACATGACTATTAACTCAAATAGTTAACATCTACGTGGAATTTGGAATCCGGTCTTTTTGCATTTTTGATTAAACATTTCTCATGACATTAAATTATTTGCATGCAACATTACTTAGAAAAGTAAGCTTTTTTAGTATGAAGGAAAGCATAAAAGCTCGGTCTATTGAGGTACTACACGATCGTTACCTTTCATGAACACGAACTCAAATACATACATGCAACTTCAAAATTACAAAAAGTTATGCACGTAACATATAATCAACGTGGTTCAACCACATAACTAAAATGAACATGAATAAGAACATTTTTAAAACCTGATTTGCTTAATATATTGTACAAATCTGAAACCCTCGTCTATTGTGTTTAATGAAGCACAATTATGTTTTGTTAAGAATAATCATATTTAATTAAGCAGCGGAAAGTTACGTAATCTGGTGAGAGCATATAAGCTAGTCATACGAACCAAAAGTTTGGCGAAAGTTCACTAGCAATGAAAGGCCGTGTATCCGATAAAATCTGAAAAATGATCAGCACTCGCGGTTGGATGTAAAAGCGAAGCTGAGTGGGGAACCTATGAAATGAAGTAGCTGCGAACTGAAAATAAAGGACGAGGGTTTCTAAAAGTAGGCGAAACTTAATTTATCCACGTTATAAAAGTAAATAGTTACATCGAGACCAACAATATAGAATCAGCAGCAATGAGAGCAGTTCTTTGTCTTGAGTTGGTACTTAAAGCGGCGGGGACCGATCGATCGAAGTGAGGCAGGCAGGCGCAGGCTGAGGCTGCGAGGAGGCAGGCACAGGCGCGCGCGAATGTCAAGGTTAGCTCCACGCTCGAAATCATTGATCGTTCGAAAATATTTCGATGGAGGTTGCGCGCCGTTGAATTATCGCCGCTGATTTATATTGGTCACTCGCTCGATTCTCTTTGTACGATTGCAAGAGTCGATCCATTCGCTTGAGTGAGACTCGCGCTCGCTATGCCAATGTATATAACGTCAAGCGAGAAAGCTCGAGCTTTGAGATCAAAGCGCAAAACGACTTTAATTTCATTTTACTTCTGATCAAATTAAATATACGCTTTGTAGCTGTCGCTAATATTCCGTATATGGGTAATTCTAGGCTATTTCGATTGACTTGTAACCCTTAGGTTACGGATTTTTTTTTAATTTGGCACAATTGTTGTACACATAAAACTGAGATTTTTCCCAAATTTTGGAGACGATACATTAATTATATCAAAAGTTATTAACAATTAAAGAAAAATGATAAAAAATTTTCAAACAGCTATATTTTAAAAACTAATAAAGATATCGAAGTCGGATTTTTTTCAAAATACTTATAATGCCTTAAAATTTCGAAATAATTACAACAA